CTCCCATGATATAAGAAACACCTCCAACCACATTCCTTCACCATTTTCCTTCAAAATTGTTCTGAGAGGTAGCTTTGAGTGTAGAGAGTTCATTGGTGTTGTCCTTATTGTAAGTAGTTGCCGGAGCTAGCCACAATCCTCACTGAAAGTTTTGCCAGGATTTTCCAAAAACCTCCATTTTTGCCCGACGTAAGCCCTTAGATATATCTAGAGATTAGAATGTTTCCATAGATCATTTCTATGTTCATAAATGGTCGTTTGGTTAAGTTTTATGTTTGACATGCTTGAAAAATCAAGAATCATAGCCCTTGAAATTGTTGTTAACACTTCAAATAAATGATAAATTTGGAAAACATTTCTATATAGTTTAATTGAAAATGATCTATGAACTTTGGAACCAACAATTAAATTTTCAAAAATTAGCCCGAAGTTGAAGATGACACTGTTTAAAACTCGCGCACACACAATAACGAGCTGCCGTCCAGAGGGTACCTAGGTACCGCCGGTACGGTAGGCCGTACCGCCAGTAACGGGTAGGTACCGTCACAAGCCAAAATTCACTAACTGACACCAGGTGCTAGCCCATACCGTCTGGACGGTACCTAGGTACCTTGTACCGGTACCAAGGATACCGTAAGGGGTATCGTCTGAACTGGGAACTTTTTTATAAATTTGATTTTTGAACTATTAAGTCCTATTTTTAATACCATTCAAGTATGATCAATATGAAAATAATTTTTGAAAGGAAATATGATGTTTTGAAAAAATCAAAAACCTTGTGTGATGCATGACGGTAAACTAAGGTGTTAACACGCGACGATAGACAGCTATTTGTTATTGAATACTATGATGATTATTATTGATTGTTGATTATGATTAAACCTTGATAAATATGCTGATTAAAATGATAATTATGAATGATTGAACCAAGATTAAAAACAGAAATATTCTGATGATTATGAAAATGATATTGATTTTTAAAGGTATCTAGAAGAACTCTAAGATATACCCATCTAACCAATTTGGTTAGACCTTGCGAGTATGATACCTGGTGGCCAAGGTTAAAACGTACGTACGAAATCCACAAAAAAAAACTTGAGTACCTACTCGTTTGAGGGTACCACGTAACCCGACAGTGACTAGTCCGTTGTTCGATTTTGAGCATGATCCATAAGACTCGTAGGATGGATCATTGATCCTTGTGTTCTGCCTTAAACTAATATATAGCTTAAGAGCCCGATTAAAAATATTGCCTTAGACAATTATAGTTTAAGAGCTCAGTTATTATTATGAATTTGGCCTTAGACTAAGCATAAGTTTAAGAGCGTTGTTATGATTTGACCTTAGACTAAAAATGAATTAAGAACACTATTGATATAATGGATATTGAATATTGGAATCAAATAAAGGCCGTGTTTGGAAAACAGCATTTGGGATAGCTTTTGGCATCTTTGACTGACTTTGACTTTTTTGACCAAGCGAACCGCCAAAACCATTGTTTGGCTAATGGTTTTTTCACTTGGCATTTTGATCCGAAAAGCCAAAATCTGAAATGCCAAGGGGAGTAGCATTTGGACTTGGCGGTTAGGAAAAATAATTTTTTAAAATCATTTTTGTTGAAAGATATTTTATAATATATGTAAAAAATAAAAATAAAAGTTAGAAAAATTAAATACGAAAAAAATAAAATGAAATTAAAAAATATTTATATTTATAATTCATTAAAAAATTTATATTTATAATTTATTATGAATTAAATGAAATTAAAATTTAATACTCCATATAGTAAAGATTAACTTTTTACATGTAAAAAAATGAAAAATAAATATTAATTTTTTATTTAATTTTTTTAATTTTTTATTTAATTTTTTATTTAATTTTTTTAATTTAAAAAAAATATATTTATGATATGATATTTAAAAAAATTGTAAAATAAAATATACCATAAATGAAGGGATGTCCTTTTATGTAATTTTACTTACAAACAGCTAACTATAAACAGCTAAAATTGCCAAACACTTAAATTTTAACTGCTAACAGAAACAGCCGGTCAAAACAGCTAACTCAATCAGCCATTCAAACCAGCTAACATAAACAGCCAACTGCCAACTGCCAACTGCTAGTGTCCAAACAAGGCCAAAATGTGTTGATATCAAATGATCTGGTATGAATTAATATTGAATATCTGAATTGAATATTATGTGAATGATATCAAATGATTTGACTATGAATTGAGATTCAATTTATATGGATGATCGATGCATTAGATATCCTTACTCAGCTTCACTGCTGAGCGTCTAGTATGTCTTATTTGCTACACGCAGGTAAATGAAATAAGGAATGATGTGATTGATCTTGGCAACAAATGGAGACACGAGATGTCAGATGGATGTGTGATGGTTTGAACTGTTCAATAAATATTTAGAAAGTGAATTAATAATGATGATGTAAAATAATTTATTACGCTTCCGCAAATTTGACAAAACTCCGTTTATGGATATTAATTATGATAAATAAAAGTGTTTGAAATGTTTTAAATTTTACGATTACCAAGTTTATACTTTAGTCTGAAAGAAGATGGAGACCTGGACGGTACATACATTGACACAAAATTTCTGTAGGATCACAAAATTTTAGTAGGATCGTGAAATTTTGCATTGACATTTTGTGTCAATGTAAGCCATCAAACTTACACTTACATTGACATGAAATGTAAATATAAACTTTTGGGATATACTCCCTCCGTCCCCAATTAGATTACAATATTCCCTCTTATTTTTGTCCCAAAAAGAATTACAAAGTGTTTACTTTTACACTAAATGGACTCTTTTACCCTCCCTCCCCTTTATCATTTCAATGTCAAAATCTCACCCACCCCCCATTCCTGTACTATTTGGGGGGTAATTTGGGTAAAAAAAACTAATTTGACTCTTTCTTAATTTTGTCTAAAAGGGAATATTGTAATCTAAAAGGGGACGGAGGGAGTATGTTAAATTACTGGACCATGCTCTACACTTACACCAAAATTTGTACCCCAAACTTTCACTAAAGATATACACCAACATTTTGATGGTTCACACTGACACAAAGTGTCGGTGCGCTAACAAAAATGTACACTAACACAAAGTATTGGTGCGTTAACAAAAATTAGCATTACACCAACACAAAATATTGATGCACACCTGCGGTGTACAAATGGAGTACAAACCCTTAGGGTACAAATAGCTTTATCCTAAATTACTCCCTCCGTCCCTAAAACATTGCACAGTTTGACTTTTTTGGTCAAACTATGACACTCTTTAACATTGAATCATGCAAAAAGTATCTTTAGTTATAATGTAAATTTAGTAAAGTTAGGTTTATTTTAGAATACAATTTTGAAATATCAAATATTTGTAATATTTAATTATTTTAAATTATATATAATTTGTGGTAAAAAAAATACCACAGTTTAATTAAAAAATTAAACTGTGGTAATCTTTTAGAAACGAAAGAGTATTGTCTTTGCCATAGTTAGTAATTTACGGTTGACGTATAATACGTCAATACGTACGTTCGTGTATAATACGTTATGATTTTATAAGTACGGCTTAGTATGCACATTAAACGTTCGGAATACGAGTACAAATGCGTACGTGTTTTAATCATTTTCTATTTTTAAAATACGTCTTATTATATGTTTATATATATTATCATATATACGTCAAATTTACACATATTTATCGATTGATAGTCACAATTCAAATTTATATTAGGGTAAATAAACAAAATACAAAAATCTTTTAAATGAAATATTTACAATAGGTTTTTTCAAATTAGAATCTCTATTCATTTAAAATATTTATTTGAAAAAAGTATATACTCTCTTCATTAGGAAAAATATCTTTATTTAACTTTTACGTGCGTAGTTTAAAAAATGTTAAAAATAAAAACTTTATAGTTTGAATATATTTAGTAAAAAAATAAGAATTGTGAGTCACTCATTCCTTTCTAAAAGGAAATGAATTTTTTGAGACGGAGACATATGGAAAGAGTAAAGTCTTTTTTTGAACTTGACAAAAAAGTGTAATTTTTATAGAATGTAGATAGTATATATTTTTTCAAATTAATTAAATATTGCATATGATATAAAGTATTACTCGTATTTTGTTTAAATATTTTTTGAAACAAATTAATATTTGTTGTTGTATAAAAAATTTATAATGAAATATTCAATTCATACGTCTTATACGTAATTATATGTATAGTATCAAATATATGTATATTTTAAAGTACTTTTAAAAATACGTAAGTATAATACACAAATTATACATACATAAGTATAATAATACGTGTATTATACGCGTATTAAGTAACTAGTATCTTTTGCTTTCTTTGGAATACAAGTGGATTTATTCTATTTTTTCCTGTGTCTAATAGTGCCTCCTAAAAGGATTTCCCAGGCCGCTTCCCCGAACTCACACAAATTATACCGTACATCCGGCTGTACGGGAAGAACCGTACAGCCGGAATTTAATTAGGGCGAAAGGGGGAATTAGGGCAAGAACCGGCGAATTGATCGGCCATGAAGGAAGCTGCGCGATGGTTGGATTCCCGATCGGCGATTTGCGGATGAAGGTCCGGCGATTACGATGAAGATGAAGGTTGTTTGAAAGTCCGATCGGAGGAGGACGATGAAGTGATCCGCGATCTGAAAGTTAACGATGGTATTCTGCTTCCAAGCGATGGTCTTGGACTTCCTACCAGATTTCAAACTACATATGAATGATACATTAACGGTAGATTATTTAAGATTGAGTACTAGTTTATATGGAAATGAGTATTAGTGGGTTTTAGAATGAATATTATGTTATTCGTAAATGAATATTCAACAAATTTGTAAAAATGAGTACGACATTATTTCTGAATGAGTATTGTGTTATTTCAAAATGTGTACCACACTTTTCAAATGAACCATTATGCTTGTGCGAGAATGAGTACTACTATACTTCGCGGAATGAGAACTACATGGATGTACCTATCTCTAGGTAGGTCCGGATGTACCATATACACTACACTGAACTCAGGATTTTGGTGCCCCCTTCAGCTAGATCGTGGCTCCGCCACTACTTCTTACCACTTATCCATGGCATCTTTGTCTTCGCGACACCTCAAATCTCCCTTTCGCGCTCTGTCCACAAACCCAACCTCTGTAAGCTCGGAACAGACTGAAAGTTTATTGGAGTTGCTTAATCGCATAGTTGATTGTTTTCTTATCTGTTTACTCTTTCAGGGTTCTATGAATGGAGAATTTCCGACGGCTCTTGCCTGCAAGCCTAACGTGAGTGGAAAGGAATTTCGTCTATCTATTGCCAAGAAATTCGAACTGAATTGCCTGAAACACATAGAAATGGATGCCACTGTACCAGTTCCCTTTGGTGCCCCTGCTCAATCCATGGGTGCGCTGTAAACAATACTTTTCCGTCCACTTACTCCATTTTGTGGCAAGATGTCTGATCTAATTAATTGAGAATTGGAATGATTTATGCAGATACGGGGGGCAAGGCACCTACGGAGCAATGGGAGCCAAAAGAGCCAAGCTTTTCAACAGTGCTGATGAATTTTTCTGATGAACTCGACCCTTACGATGCCATGAGTACTCCTTTGTATCAGACAGCTACTTTTAAGCAGGTAATTCTCATGAAGAAGAAAAGGAATAGATTGAATTGCCTCATATATGTTTTAAGCCAGGTGGTTTATTATACTTGAATAATTTTTTTTGATAATAACTGAAAATCATAGTGATAGAGTCAACCCAATACTCTATGAATAGTGTGCATTGCCACCATTCAACATTCAAATTGCAATTCTAGTTTGGTAATGAGTGTCATATCACATTTTGTGCAGCCTTCAGCAACGGAAAATGGCCTTTATGATTATACAAGGAGTGGAAATCCAACAAGAGATCTACTAGAAAAGTTGTAGCTTCTTATGCACATATGGAAGCCTATACAGGCATGTATTATGGCATGACACTCGCTCATCAAAGTCACCTAATATTTCAGGCTTCTTGCGAAGATTGAGAAAGCAGATCGTGCATTTTGCTTCACCAGTGGAATGGCTGCCTTGACAGCGGTAACTCGTCTTGTTGGAACAGGTACTTTTCAATGTTCTTAGTTCGTTGAGAAAACAAAGAACTTTTAAATAGGTTGGTATCAGGTCATCCAGTTGCTCCTTTGGCTAGATACATTCTTTAGTTCCTTGAGACTACTGTAGATGGTGTTGGTTGAGGCAACACTGAGTTTACATATTGTCTAGATGTATTTTGGTAGTTTTTTCTCATAACATTCTTTTTAAAAGTTTAGAGTATATTGTGCATATCTATTCCTTATGCCATAAGTTTGGTGTCTCCATTGATAAAACAACTAAGAGAGTACTCCCTCAGTTCCATATATTATGCTTGAAACTTTGACATTCAAAGTCTCAAATGCACTGTTTTGACCATTTGCACTTACACATAAATACTCCCTCCTTCCATAAAAAAAACTTCCCGGTTTGACCGGGCACGCAGTTTCAGGAGAGATGAAATTGGGGTTGACTTTCCTAAAATGACCCTCTACCATTTCTCGTTTACTAATGCACCATATATCTCTCCGTCAAGAACCAACAACAAAACCATGGCTGGATGCTCCCTCAAGAACAACACTGAGCAAGTCAAGAATAAAACAACACCAAACAATGGAACAATATTAAAAATCCAAAACAAAAATGAAAAGTTTAGAGTATATTGTATGTTTCTATTCTTTATGCCATAAGTTTGGTGTCTCCATTGATAAAACCACTAAAGGAGTACCCTCAGTTCCATATATTATGCTTGAAACTTGACATTCAAAGTCTTGAATGCAATGTTTTGTCCATTCATATCTGCACTTACACATAAATAAATATTTTAAGCGCGTTATATTCTAACACTACATTTCAAAATGAATCTTATTTAATTAAGTCCACATTATCGAAAAGTGCATTTTTAATGCAAAACATGGTCAAATTTCATAAATCTTGACCAAAAAAGTAAAGTATGAACAATATTATGGAAGAAAAGAAGTATATAGAGAAAATATCATTCTAAAACTCTTTAGTATCAATTGCTTAATAGGTGAGGAGATTGTTGCCGGGGACGACATATATGGTGGTTCAGATCGGTTATTGTCACAAGTTATCCCAAGAAGTGGAGTTGTTGTGAAGTTAGTATGAGCTTTGTTTTTAAACTTTGTTCTCACTCGAGTCATTTCTTATTTCTTAAGAAGGCACTCAGTTGTTTACAATGGCGGAACAGGCGAGTTGACACAACTAATCTAGATGAAGTTGCATCAGCTATGGGAACAAAGACAAAGCTTGTGTGGCTAGAAAGTCCTACAAATCCTCGTCAACAAATTTGTGACATCCGTGTGGGTTATAGTGGTTTTGAAGTTTCCATTGAAACAGTGTTTGTGTTCGCTTGGTTTATAAAAGAACCCCGCATACAATTCTTTTTATTTATTATAAAGCATTCTTTTTCACACTGATGGTTCTAGTCTCCATGCAAATGCAAAATCAGAAAATTGCTGCTATGGCTCATGCACATGGGGCTCTCATGCTGGTAGATAACAGCATTATGTCTTCCGCACTCTGTTGCCCCTTGGAGCTTGGAGCAGGTGTTGTAAAGCTTTTCCATCTTTCTTTAATTTAAATCATATTCATTATAGCTGAGTTCAACTGGAACTTTTTCTAATATTTAAACATCTTAATCCAGATATTGTGATGACTTCTGCAACTAAATTCATATCTGGTCATAGTGATCTTATGGCAGGTGTCCTTACTGTTAAAGGAGAAAGGTTTTCCCCCACTCCATTGAATACATTTGATTTTTTGGCTACTTCTGTGTTTATCTATCACTGAGGTTATTTTACTGTTATCAATGTCACTGAGGTTATTTTACTGTTATCAATGTCACTCCATTAAATTCACTCATGCTTCTCACAGAAGAGAAAACAAGCTTGTACCTTGATTGAGTATGAACTTATTATTCTTCTGGACGTCTATGTATATTTTCTGAAGTATTTTGTGTGAACTAGGGATGACATAAGTGTGATTCCTTTTAACCAGATTGGCCAAGGACTTGTATTTACTTCAAAATGCAGAAGGTGCAGGCTTAGCCCCATTTGACTGTTGGCTCTGTTTAAGAGGGATCAAAACTATGGCTCTGTGTGTTGAGAAGCAACAGGTTAGTTCCCACATTTATGCTTCAATGAAAATGAAAACTGATTCTTTTTTATAAAAATTAAAATCATATACATAGATTAGATTTCTTACATATTACTCCCTCTGTCCCAAAATAATCTTCTTTCCTTTTTTCGTCCTTCCCAAAATTATCTTAACTTAAAAAAAAGAGTGTTTCTAAAAAAGTTTCTCTCTTCTCATCAATTTCTAACCATTCCTTTTTTCACTTTTCAACACTTTTCTTAAACTCCGTGAAAGTCAAATGTAGAAGATTAGTTTTGAGACAGAGGGAATATTATATTAGAGCTGAATAAAATAGATGAGTTTGGATATAAATATCTAATATATGCTCATTGTGAAGAATATTTTCGTTGATATTCTTCCCTTCAATGTTCTCCAAATTCCAAACGGACACTTAAAGCTTTCTAACTCAGTGTTAGTGTCATACAATCTTGGCAGGATAATGCACAAAAGATTGCCGAATTTCTCACTTCGCATCCGCGGGTGAAGAAGGTCAACTATGCCGGTCTTCCAGACCACCCAGGGCGGTCGTTGCACTATTCTCAGGTAATGGCTGTAACACGTTCTGGGAGATGCACGCCCGTAATGCAACATTACAGTAGTTTTCAAAAATTCGCATGCATTATCATAGCACACTCATTTTACGTATCACAATGGTGCAGGCAAAAGGTGCAGGGTCAGTGCTCAGTTTTTTGACAGGGTCTTTGGCACTGTCTAAGCATGTAGTCGAGACCACAAAGTACTTCAGTGTTACCGTCAGTTTCGGTAATTGCAAACTCTATTACTTATTTCACCTCCTAATATGCACGGGGCGAATCAGATAGGGGACTAGCATAAGGCATTATATATGTGTATGTGTTTTAAGATTTGGCTTATGTTAGATTGCTTAACATGGGGAGTAGCATGGGAAGCAGACTAGTTTTGAAAGCTTAAGTTCCGGAGAATTCTTAGGTGGCCCTAATAACGTCCACCTAAAAACTTAGAAACAATAGCTACATAAACATATTTATAATGTTACGATAAGCATTTATAATTTATTATTTATTAATTTGCTTATGTGTGAAGGGCATTTCATCATTGTATGAACCTAAGGTCTGCTGCGTAGAAGCACTCTATGTCGATGCTAACGAACTATCCTATTTTGGAAATTCTTGCAGGAAGCGTGAAGTCACTGATAAGCTTGCCGTGTTTTATGTCCCATGCAAGCATAGCGGCTGAGGTGCGAGAGGCCAGAGGGCTTACTGAGGATCTTGTTCGCGTGTCTGTTGGAATTGAAGATGTTGATGATCTGATTGCTGACTTAGACTATGCACTTAGCACTGCCCCACTTTAGACACACATATATAGATGTGTGTGTTTTAGTCTAAAAATTATGTACACCATAAAATATTGGCATCCATGATTTAAGAAACATAGCATTGTCTTTTACAAACTTGGAGATTGTAGGGATTTAGCATTCATCGAGCTATTCTCTTTTCATTCCAAAAACAGTTCCTTTGATGATATAGATTCTTTATAGCTGAGTTCAAGTGGAACTTCTTCTAACATTTAAACCTCTTAATCCAGATACTGTGATGACTTCTCCCACTAAATTCATATGTGGTCATAGTGATCTTATGGAAGTGTCCTAACTGTTAACGGACAAAGGTTGTTCCACACTCTTTCCTCGACGACATTTGATTTATGTCTATTTATCTATGATGTTATTTCTGGAAGTGTGGAACTTTGAATCCTTTTGTTCCTAATTTGTATCTCTTGATTCATGCTATGCTCATATATTCATAATTCATATTTTGTTGATTTGTTAATTGCTAGGGATGGCTTGTGTCTAACTCTTGAATTCAGGGTTATGCTTGAGTTCAATATTCACGCTTGAATCCTTTTAATGTAAAATTATTTTTTTACCTTACTCAGATCAGTCCTATCTTCGTTTGCTTCATGATTGAAGGTGTGGCTTTACACCTTTGGTCAATTTTATTGTGCCAAAGTCTGATTTAATTTACGGTTTATTATTTTATCATTTTAGTACTGTATCATAAACTTTTTTTTTCTAACATTCATAATTTAAATTTTGATAAAAATATTTAGCCGTGCATAGCACGAGTATGAATATAGTACCAAGTAATAATGGAAGAATATCAATTGATGAGCATGCTTCAAGGGGCCATAGAGGAGAGGCAGTGTGGTTGCATCAGAGATGTTGAAGAGGCATTGTGGTCTAGGTCACATAATGCGAGCAAGAGCGGGAGCGAGAGCGCAAATGCGTCAAAATTGAAGAAAATGTGAGTGCGGGTACGGCTTAGTTCGTATTTTTTAAACACATGTTATGTCTAGTTTTCATATCCTCCCTATTTTCAATAACAAGAATGGTGTCACACTCAAAATCATGGTAATCTCTCTGCCGTAATATACGGAGTCTTACAATTTGGATTTACAAAGCAAAATCTTGTATTTTTTTTGAAAAATCTTGTATTTTTTTTTGAAATCATTTTATTTAATTACAACAACAACAACCCAGTTAAATCCCAGAAGAGTAGGGTCTGGGGAGGGTGTGTGTACGCAGACCTTACCCCTACTCGAAAGTAGAGAGGCTGTTTCCAAAGAGACCCCCGGCTCAACATCGAAAGTTGCAATGCTTGACTAACTGCTACTTCATTAATTAAAGAAGCGCAGACAGTTTAGAGATCCATTTTGATTTATTCCATCACACCCCAAAGCCAAAAAATGGTGAAATTTTGGCTCCATCAGAGATGATGGAAATAAATCATTTTATTTAATTATGTATAAAAATAATAAAATGAATTTATATAATCCCTCCGTCCCAATTTAAATCGTTTGTTTTGGTTCACGATGTTTGACTGAACTTATTTTCAAGCCATTTTATATGAAAACGGTGTAGAATTAAAAAATAAAAATTTCATATTTAAAAATTACATATTTAAAAATTACATCAAAAAATCCTATAAAACTTGTGGTGACATTACTATAATTTTATCAAATGACTAACGAAAATAAAGAAAAAAGTGAATGAAATTTGGCTATGTCAATAGTAAAGATGCAATTTAATTTGGGACCAAGGGAGTATTACTCTATAAAAAACTTTGTCAAAAATTTTACAAAACTTATGCTAACATTAATATTTTATTTCATTAAATAATCAATGAAAATAAAAAGGAATTAAACAAAAAGCTATCAAGAAATGAATAAAAATTTGAACTCCGTAATCAATTATGAAACGGAGGGAATGTTATACTACTATAATACTACTCCGGGGTAATATAATAATGCCAAATACGAAATTGTTAGCGGATATTTTATTATGTTGGGCACTTCCCCGGTATCATGGAAGATGAAGAAACAAACTACCGTGGCACGATCGTCTGCAGAAGCTGAATATAGGGCCATGGCCAACGCGTGTGTTGAGATACGCTGGATGCATAGCATTTTGGGCGCGTTAGGTGTCCCTATTTTATATCCTTCACGTTTATACTGTGATAATCAATCAGCTTTGTATATTGCAGCAAATCCAGTGTTTCATGAACAGATGAAGCATATCGATGTTGATTGTCATACGGTTTGTGAATCTGTTCAGCGCCATGAGGTGTCTACGCGCTATGTTCCCACGCGATATCAATTGGCTGAGATTTTTACTAAACCATTACCCAAACCTGTTTTTGATTTCTTGTTATTCAAGTTGGGCATTCGGGATCTTCATGCTCCAACTTGAGGGGGAGTGTTAGCGGATATTTGTAATTAGGCGTAGATATTGTGTTATTGGGCCTGTACTTGTAGCCCGTTTATGTACTTGTATATATATCGGTTTATGATTAATGGAAAACAGTTCAGTTGCGCTAAACTTTTCTACATGGTATCAGAGCCTAAACCCTAGGCCTCTCACGCGTCCCTGTTCTCCGACGTTTTCTACGGCCAAACCCTAGGCCGGCGTCGTGTGTTTCTTGCTCTCTTCTCCGGCGAAGAAGCTGTTCGGTCGCTGGCCAGAATCGTGCACCAGCACCACCGCATATTGCTTTGAGTTCTTGGAATGGCTTCGACTACCAAGAAAACTCGTTTGATCCACGATTCATCGTCAGAATATTATCTCCATCCGTCTGAGGGTCCAGGTAATACTTTGACAAATCATGTGTTAAAGGGTGAAAATTTTGATACTTGGGAGAAAACTGTTGGACATGAGTTCAAACCCCTTTATTATTTTCTGGAATATTTTTTGTTTTGATGAATGACAAACAGGATGATTAAATTCAATCGATATTCGAAAATTTATTTTTCGTATCGAGAAAAGCAAAGAAGGGTATCAAGAAGTTTACGGCGATAAACTTCAACGCTCACCCCTACGCAAATTTTTGAAGAGAAGTGAAGACTCCGATGACTTTTTATTTTTATTGAGTCTAGGAATTCTTGTAAGGATGACAATAATTTTTGCACAAACAAATTAATTTTGAGGGATAAAAATTATTATTTCTTGAGTCAGTTGAAAAATTATTTTTTTCTGTCTAAAAATATTCTTTTGAGTCAGTTTCAAAATAGTGTGTCAAAATTTCTTTAAAATATTATTTAAGGATACACAAATTTTTTGTGGTAAGAGAAATGTACTTTAAAGATTTTTTCTTGTACATCGTTTGACACACAAAATATTTTTGGGACTCAATTTCTACACCAAAATTCAAATATTTAATTCAAATTTTGAATTTGAATTAAATTCTTTAACCCATTTGTATTGTTTGTTTTTGGGAGCCTTATATTATTCAAATTGTTGTCTAAAACAAAGCATTTAAATCCAAATATCCATCCCACTCGCACACATGTCTTGGGTCCTCATGTTNTTCCCCTGGATCGATCCGCCGAAGGGTTGCAAGAACTCATTTCCGGATTTTTGGTCCCCTTGGATCGATCCCCTGCCTTGGATCGATCCCCCGTGCTTTTGACACAAATTTATTTTCGGAAGTTTACTCCAGATGATCGATCTTTTGCCCTGGATCGATCCCCAATGCTCCAATCTGTCAAAATCACCTCTTCCCTACTTCCAACGGATTTATTTCTTTTAATCCTATAAAAACCCTCATCCTTCTTCATCAAACACACATCTCTTGCACTCCAATATCTTCATTAATCAATATTCAATTCTTGCTTCCATCTTCCTCATCAAATATATTATTTTGAGAGTTAGAAATATTTTATTGAGTGCTAAAGATTTTGTCATCCATAGAGCTTTAATTCTTCAACACTACTTTGCTCAATTGTGTGAGCTTTCATTCTTGTGTTGTAAACTCAATCTCATTTGAGTGTTGTTCATAAGACTTGTGTGACTCAAGTCTTGTTGTTGTAAGAAAGTGAGGCTTGTGTGATTCAAGTTCTCAAGTTGTACCGGTTTTTCAAGCACCCGTTGAAGCTTGAAGATTAGTAGGACTTTCGAGAGAGTCTCTCGGAGGACTGGACTAGCCACGAGGTGGTGAACCAGTATAAATCCCGGTGTTCTTCTTTCCCCTTACTCTCTTTACTTATTCCTGCGATATTTTATTTCACACACGCGAAAAACGCACATTCTTGAAAACAACTCTATTCACCCCCCCTCTAGAGTTGCACATTTGTCTAACAAAAACTATTGTAAATGCACTAAAGGGACGTAGTAAGGCGGGGTTTTTGTCTCCTACGGGAATGACTAAACCTACTGATCCTGCGGAATCGGAAGTGTGGGAAGCAAATAATTCCACAATTTGCAGTTGGATTTTTAATAGTGTTGATGAAATTATACAGCCTAGTATTGCTTCTCATACCGTGGTTCACGAGTTATGGTCAGATTTGAAAACTCGTTATAGTACCATAAATGAGCCTCGGATTTATCAATTGGAGAATGAGTTGCAGAATCTTAGGCAAAAGGGTCAAACGGTGGTTGTGTATTACAATCAGTTTGTCACTTTATGGAATAAATTATACGGGGTCGAGGATCCCACGTGTGGTTGTGCATGCCCAGCTGCTGCGAAATTGAGAGCAAATGCCGAGAAGGCAAAAACAAGAAAGTTTTTGTTGGGGCTTGATGATGAGCAGATTGGTACTCTTCGAGGTCAAATCTTGGGTACTTAACCGCTCGCAGATCGTTGTTACTTGATTATTAGGTTTCCATCTTCGGGCCGAGGACGTGGTCGAACTTCATCAAACCGAGGGGGAGGACGCAGCAATCATGGTGGCCGAACATCTGCCCAGTCGCCACTCTCTACTGCCGGGCAGTCCGGCAACCCAGCTCCCTCGGCACGTCCACATCTAATGCCGTGACTGACGTGCACAACTCTCTCTCCGCCATGTCTCCGGATCAGGTTGCACGTCTATTCTCCATGCTGGATTCCACTCTTTCGTCATCTGATAAACTACAAGGTATGTCTGACTCTGTACCTTGCGAATGGTTGGTGGATAGTGGAGCTTCTCATCATATGACCGGTTTATTATCTTGCTTGACGGATGTTGTACCACGGTCTCCTTGCACCATTAGCTTGCCGGATGGAACCCATGTTGTGTCCACTTCGTGTGGTCGTGTGCAAGTGTCTCCTTCTCTTATCTTGCACAATGTTTTATATGTTCCTAATTTAAAGTGCAATTTGATCTCCTTAAGTTTCCTTGTAAACTCACATAACTGTCATGTTTTCTTTGATGATCATTTTTGTGTGATACAGGACTGCACTACGAAGACGCGGATTGGACAATGTGAAGCACGCAACGGAGTTTATGTCTTTCCATCTCAAGCCCAGGCCTTCAAAGCCGAGTCCATATCTTTGTTGCATCAGCGTCTTGGCCATCCATCCCCTCAAGTTATATCTTTTCCTCCGTTTAATAAGAGCCATACTGAAATTAAAAATTTTCAGTCTTGTGATATTTGTTTCTTCTCCAAACAGACTCGATCTCCTTTTACACCCAGTATTAATAAAGCTGAACAATTGTTTGATTTAATTCATTGTGATTTATGGGGACCATATTCTCCATGTATTTCTACTGGGTCACATTATTTCCTTACTATTGTGGATGATTTTTCTAGAGCTGTTTGGGTTTTCCTCCTCATTGAGAAAAGTGAGGTTACTAGTTGCTTGAAACAATTTTTTACTCTCATAAACACTCAGTTTCATAAAATCATAAAAGTTGTTCGTTCTGACAATCGAACTGAGTTCCTCAACCGGCCTCTTCGTGAATTTTATACAAGTAAAGGGGTTCTTGTTCAAACTTCATGTGTCAATACACCACAGCAAAACGGTCGGGTTGAGCGTAAACATCGCCACATTCTTAATGTTGCTCGTTCTTTAATGTTTCAGGCTTCTTTACCTCTTGAGTTTTGGGGGGAATGTGTTCGCACCGCTGTTTATCTCATTAACCGCACACCTACTCCACTGTTACAAGGTAAATCTCCTTTCGAAATTCTTTCTTCAAAACCTCCAGACTTGTCTCACCTCCGGGTTTTTGGGTGTCTCTGCTTTGTCCGTAATTTTCAACGCCCACCAAACAAATTCCACCCTCGTAGTGTAAAGTGCATGTTTGTGGGATACCCTACGGGAACTAAAGGTTGGCGGGTTTATGATCTTGAGTCGCATCGTTTCTTTCATACCCGAGACATCTCATTTGACGAATATGTCTTCCCGTTTGCAATTCCTAAAACCTCACCGTCCAAGAACTGCCCATCCCCGTCCCATGTCCACGCTGATTTGCCCGGCCCCTTCTCCAGCCGACTGTTCCCGCGACATCTCCCAGCGGCGGCAGTCCGGCGTCTTCCAGTAGCAGCGACGAGGGCTCCGACGGTGACAGCCCCGTCAGCTCCCCGTCATCGTCACCCCCACCTCCAGTTCGTCAACGTCGCCCCCCTCCTCACCTGGCCGATTACTATTGTCATACCGTTCAGACATTGGCTCCGGTTGCTCCTTCCGTTGCCTCTTCTCGTTCTTCAGGTACTCGGTATCCTATCCATAATTTTGTTTATTATGAGAAATTTCATGACAGGCATCGTGGTTTTTTTGTGGCTGTGACTTCCCATGAGGTTCCAAAGAATTTCAAGGAGGCCATGCAACATGCTAATTGGCGTGTAGCTATGCAGCAGGAGATTGACGCATTGGAAAACAATCATACTTGGGACATCACAGATCTTCCTCCTGATCGTACTGCTTTGGGGTGTCAATGGGTTTATCGAACTAAGTTCCGGTCTGACAGTACTAAAGAGCGGGATAAGGCACGCCTTGTGGTCTTGGGGAATCACCAGGAATTCGGTACGGATTATACTGATACTTTTGCTCCTGTTGCTAAAATGGGTACTGTTCGTATTTTGTTATCTGTAGCTGTGGCTCGAAATTGGGAGGTTCATTAGCTTGTTGCGCTAAACTTTTCTACAGAAATACTCGATTCCATAAAAAAAGAACATAATGTAAGTTCGTGGGGGTGCAACAGAAATCACCAATTGAAAGCTACGCAAACAGATCAAACAACTATGTTGTAGAGAAGACACTGCAGCACTGTCACACTAACAGTTGACAGACAAAGTGCTATAATATCTTCTCTGTCACAAGCACACACGCAAAATACAAAGTAAAAGCAGTAAACAGTATACAAGAATTGTTTACGCAGCTCGAAGCAACTCTCCTACGTCTGTAGGGCCCACGTCCGTGTGACAACCCTTCCACTAAATCACCGTAAAAATTACACAACCAATCACAAGAGAACCTTCTAATGTATTGATTTGTCTACTTATGAATGACTTGACGACAAACACTGTTTGCGTCTATCTCCACGGCTTGTTATACCTTCTCAAAGATCTTCTTCAAGCACGTAGATTCCAATAACTCTGTTTGCGACAACTTTTGTTTTTTCGTATTTTTGCACTCCAAAACCATGAGGGAGGGAGAAGATAATATATGGAATATAATAACCCTGTTATAGTGTACTTAGGAGTCTCAACCATGACTTTCTCCTCAAGAATAATATACCAAGTAGGTAAATATATTCGTTTGTCAAAAACTAATGTCAACACAATATGGAACTAACACATAAAAGATCATGTTGGACCCAAGCGGCCAAGCCCATACAAATGAAAACAGGCTAACGGTTGGAACTCCACGTTCACTGAACTAGTATTTCAATATGCTAAAGCATGAATTGGTATAAAATTGATGCAACGTCATGCGGTGCCCGCGTCTTCAATGCATCAATTTACGTTTCAACCACATGTTCTCCATCCGAGAAGAGCGAGCTATGTTACCTAGGTTGTGGTCCTCGGTGGGGCATCATTGACGAGAAGGATTTATTTCGAAGTTAGAAAGGGCGGGGAGGTCATGACTAGGAAATACTCTGTGTTACGGTTGAGGCAATGTGGTGGTGGATTGTTTCATTTCGATTTTATAAGAAATCTAAAGAAAAAATTATGGCGTAGGAGGCGACTAGGAAAAAAGTGTGGCATAGTGATTAGGCAAAAGGAGCTAGCCAGATAAGCTAATTAGCTTCCTAAATCAATAGAGTCACTATTTACAAGGAAGAAACTTTTTACAAGGATGAATAGATTAAAAAAATATATTTTAGAGATGGAAAACAAATTTCACTTTTTTTAATAGAGAATAAAAACTTAGTTAACCCTATTTTTTATTATACAACCATCCTATCCTAATATGTAAATGAATATTATCAACTCCGTATTTATTATACACAATTTCCGGTACGCTGAATAAATGTCTACCCACGGCTGTGGATAAGAATAGAGAAAAAAATACTTCATTTTGGACCCCACAAATACTATGACATCCTCGCTTTTGGTCAGTAACTTTCATTTTTCCACTTCGGTGTACAATTGATTCTTGTCACAAGCCATGTTAGAAAAACCTCACATTTGACACCATAGTGTCTCATAGACACACAAGATAGTTTTTGCATTGACAATTATAGTCTCTGTGTGTGAGAGATACCATGGTGTCAAAGTGGGAATCCCCTAGCTTTTTTGTTCTAGCCGCTCTTGGTCCTTTATAGTCACTTTCCAGCAAACCTGAAATTGTACGAAAAATTGGCCGGAGGGGCCAAAAGGGACAAGAAATCTATAGTCATGCACCCGAAGTACAAAAATGCAAGTGAAGAGAAGAGGGAATGGCTGGCCTAATAGTCAAGGGACCAAAACGGAATATTCTCTTTTGTACAACAATACAGATTTTAGCCTAACTAAGAAAATGGAACCATGATAATCAAATGCAGGATCGTAATGTGTGAAGCAGCAACATGTTTATACCAATGATAAAAGTTTCCTCTACAAATTGCAGGTGGAGATTTTACTCAACCAAAACAAGAAAGATAGAATGGATAGTAGTAACTGACATGAAATAAACTTCAGAAAGGCTACAGCTCACTGTAATTGCGCCAGACTGTTCGGAATTCTTCACGAAATGTGTTTAAACGAGCCTTCACGTTGGGAGTTCGGAAGCTTGCATGAGCAATTGTGGCTGGGGAGATCCAGATGGAGAGTTACATTAGATGGATACTAAAGTGGGAACAATGAGCTAATACACAGAAAGCTGTTATAATTACCGAGAAGGCCAATAGCTAGAGACCATGAAACCATTAGAAGCCCACAGGAGACAAACCAAAGCAGCAAACTCACTGAAGAAG